GGGAGAGGGGAGGGGGATGGAGGATCAATGAAACCAAATTTTGTTTCAAAATACCTAATGCTTTGTACATATATTTAAAAAGAAATAAGAAAATCAAATATTAAAAAGGCATATCAATAGAAACAAAAAATGAAATAGAAAAATGAAGAAGGAAGGAAGAAGGAACAGAGGAAGGAAGGAAGGGACAGAAGGGAGGGAAGTTAGCTCACAGCTGGTTTTCTAAATGACCAGGGGGTTGCAATAATATTATTTACATCTTTTTCTGCTGATCCAAATGCCACAGTTGCCAGTACCATTTTTTAAATTATTTATTTTAATTTTATGTGTGCACATATTGCCTGCATGTAGGTAAGTGCACCCATGTCATGCAATGCCCGTGAAGGACGAAAGAGGCTGTTGGATCTCCTGGAACTGGAGTTACGGACAGTCGTTAGCTGCCATGTGGGCGCTGGGATTCGAACCTGGGTCTTCCGCAAGAACAGCCAGTGTTCTTAACTGTTGAGCCATCTCTCCAGCCTGCCAGTGTCATTTTTAGCAGTGTCAAGTTCTAATGCCCTTTGGGGATACCTGTATGAACGTTTTCTTGCTCTCCCTTTGGCTGTATGTTCCCATGCCAATGTGTTCTATTTACACAGAGTAAACGACTAGAGGAAGTGAAGAGAGAGGAGAGGGAGCTGCTGGAGGCTCAGTCCATCCCCTTGAGAAACTACTTGATGACTTATGTGATGCCCACACTGATGCAGGGACTGAACGAGTGTTGTAAGGTCAGACCTGATGACCCTGTTGATTTTCTGGTAAGATTTCAGTTTTTTTCAATTATTATTATTATTATTATTATTATTATTATTATTAATTATTTGTCTTTTTGAGACAGGGTCTCCCTGTAGCCCCAGATGACCTGGGACTCACTATGTAGATCAGGCTGGTCTTGAATCCAGAGATCCACCTGCCTCTGCCTCCGGAGTGCTGGGACTAAAGGCATGTGATGCCACACCCAGCTCAATAATTTATTTTTTATTTTATGTGTATGAGTGCTTTGTCAGCATGTATGTAAGTGCACCCATGTGTGCAATGCCCACGGAGGCCAGAAGAGGGCATCTGAAGCCCTGGAACTGGAGATATGGAAGGTTGTTAGCTGCCACTAGATGCTGGGAACTGAACCTGGTTCCTCCTCAAGAGCAGTCAGTGCTTTAAACTGCTGAGCCATTTCTCCAGTCCCAAGATTTCATTTTTTAAAATACCAAATTGAAAAAAAATGGCTGAGATGTAAAGAAACAGTAAAGTCGTCAGAGGAAAAAAAAATTTTTTTTCAATCTGGTTATTTGGGAAAGAGCTTTTTGTTTTGTTTTGCTTTGTTTTTTGACACAAGGTCTTCCTGTAGCCCCATCTGGTCTAGAACTCATTATGTAGGCCAGGCTGGCCTGGATCACACAGAGATCCATCTGCATCTGCCTCCCAAGTGCTGGATTAAAGGTGTGCACCACAACTCCAGGCTGGAAATAGCTTTTAATACATTCACAGTTTACAGTAAGATTTTTTCTTCTTTCTCTCTTTTGAGTATTCTTTTGAAAAATACTTTTATTTTATTCTTGAGAATTCATGCAGGTATTCATGTATTTTGATCATACCCTTTGCCCCCTCAAGCTCCTCCCAGATTCCCAGCACATGTCCTTATCCCAACTTCATGTCCTCTTTTATTTCATAAGTCACTGAGTCTAATTAGTCTGCCTATGTGTGCCTGGGTGTGGGGTCATCCACTGGAACATGGCAACTGACCAGGGCCACACCCCTATGGAAAGCTGACTCTCCCTTGCCAGCAGCCAGCAGCTGTCAATAGCTCTTCAGCTGGGAGTGGGGCCAATGTGCCCCCCCTTACTCCCATGCTCCTTTCTTTTATTCTTTTATTTAACTTTTTACTGAATTTTTGCAATTTTCATACAATATAGATTGATGGTCTTTAGATCTGCTCCCCTCTAGGCTGGCCTGGAACCACAGAGATCCACCTGTCTGTCTCTCAAGCCCTGGGATTATTCTAAGCTTATTCTTATATAAGATTTTATCATTCTTTTGGAAAGAAGTACTTTTTTAAAAAATTATTTTTATTTTATGTGTATGCTTGTATTGCCTGCATGTAGGTAAGTGCACTCGTGTTGTGCAATGCCCACGGAGGTCAGAAGAGGCTGTTGGATCCCCTGGAACTGGAGTTACGGACAGTTGTTAGCTGCCATGTGGGTGCTGGGATTCGAACCCAGGTCTTCTGTAAGAACAACCAGTGTTCTTAACCGCTGAGCCATCTCTCCAGCCCTGAAGTTATGTACTTTTATTTTAAAATCAAACACATTGATAGTACAAATATATGACAATAAGCACCTTGTAAATTGTTAACTTTTGGTTGGGGAGGTAGCTCAGTGAGTAAAGCCCTTGCTACCCAAGGGTAAGGGCCTGAGTTCAAATCCCCAGAAGTCATGGAAAGCTGTAATCCCAGCACACATAGAGATGAGAGGCAGAGACTAGAAGAGTCTCCAGAAAACTGAGGCTTGGCTAGCCTGATATATGTGGCAGTGACCCAGAGGGAGCCTGTCTCAGGAGAGGTGTGGAGGCAAGGTTGATGCCAGACGCTGTCCTCCAGTGTCCACATGTGCACCATGACACGGGCACAGCCTGGCACACCTTGCCTCACACAAACATGTATATACAAAGGTTTAAAAAAATAAAAATAAATACCTTTGTAAAAATACACCTTTAATCTCACCTCTTGAGAGGCGAGGATCTCTGTGAGGTAGACACCAGCCTGGTCTACATAGCAAGTTTCAGGCCAGCTGGGGCTATAGGGAGACTCTGTCTCCAAAACCTAAATATATAAACAACTTGACATTTTTCTCTTTTAATTGCAGGCAGAATATCTTTTCAAGAACAATCCTGAAATGCAGTGAAGATTCAATAATCTTGGGTCATGTGACATTAGAGATTAATCTTGTAATTTGAAAAAAATAAACTTTTTAAAATAAACTTTATTTTTTCCAGGTTCTGGAAACATTTCTGTATAAAATTGAATCATTAAAAGTCTGTAAGGTCATGAATGATTACTTCATTAAAACAGTATTTGAAATGTAAATTGATGAGGTGTATGTGCATAGCCCAGGTACAAAAAGTTCAATTCTGATGTTGGTTCTAAATATTCTGTCTCTGTATATCACAAATTTATAGTTATTTAAACCACAAAGTGATGAAATTTGCACTATATGTTATTTTAACATCTTGTTAATGATTTTACACAATTTGTGTCACCACAAATGGCAAGACGTTAAAATGGCTTCTGTTTCATGAGTCACAGAAAGTCAGGCATGATTGTTTCCTGCAAGGCTCCTTTTGAGTCCAGGGCCAGGATTTCTAGCCACATGGCTTTTCCACCACAAGGTTATGTGGTGGAGAGATAATTTGTGATAATTTGAAAGCTGCTGAATAATTCTGACAAATTAATTTTATAATATATGGATAAACTTTTTAAAAAGTAGCATTAAAAATCCTTAGTGGCTGGCTGGAGGTATGGCTCAGCAGTTAAGAACATTTTCTGCTCTTGCAGAGGACTGGGATTTGGTTTCCAACATCCAAGTCAGGTGGCTTTACAGTCTGTAACTCCAGTTCTGGAGGATCTGATGCCTCTGGCCTCTGAGGTGCAACCTGAATGCACATGCACACCCTCCCCCAGATACACATACACATAATTAAAGAGAAACCTTTTTACAAACCCCTTAAAATTCCTAGCATTATCCTGAAGGAGAATGTTTCTTTTGTTGGCTAAGTAGATTTATTTCTTTAAAGATTTATTTATTGGGTCTATCTTGGTGGTGAACACCTTTACTCCCAGCACTTGTGAGGCAAAGGCAGACAGATCTCTGAGTCATGCCAGCCTGGTCTACATAGGGAGTTCCAGGCCAATTGGGATTACATGGAGACCCTGTCTCAAAAAAAAAAAGAAGAAAGGTTTTTAAAACCTTAAAAATTTTAATATATATACATATGTGTATGAGTGTTTTGCCTGCAGGTAAGTGCAACTGTGTTGTGCAATGTCCAAAGAGGTCCGAAGACAGCACTGGATCCCCTATAACTGGAGTTACCGACAGTGGTTAACTGCCATGTGGGTGCTGGAAACTGAACCAGGATCCTCTGCAAGAACAGCCAGTGCTCTTAACTACTGAGCCATCTCTCCAGTCCCTATTTATTTATTTTTAATATTTATTATTTGTATTTTATGTGTGTGAGTGTTATGCCTGCATGTAGATAAGTGCACCTGTGTCGTGCAGTGCCCTCGGAGGACAGAAGAGGCTGTTGGATCCCCTGGAACTGGAAATACAGATACTTGTTAGCTGACATGTGGGTACTGGGATTCGAACCCAGGTCTTCTGCAAGAACAGTGTTCTTAACCACTGAGCCATCTCTCCAGTCCTATTTATTTTTGAGACAAGGTCTCACTATGTAGACCTGGCTGGCCTGGAACTGTCTATTTAGACCAGGCTAGCCTCAGACTCACTGAGATCCACCTACCTCTGCCTTGGGAGTGCTGGAATTAAAGATGTGTGCTACCACACTCTGCTGATTTCTCTACTTTTATTTTATGTGTATGTGTGTTTGCCTGCATTTATTTATCCAGAGGAGGGCTTTGATACCCTGGAACTGGAGTTACAAACAGTTGTGGGTGCTGGGAACCAAATCTGCACTCTCTGCAACAGCAGCAAGTGCTCTTAACCACTGACCATCTCTACAACCCTAAGAACGTTTATTTTAAAGGCATATAGATTTCCCTTTTGTTGTTGTTGTTTTGGTCTTTTGAAACAGGGTCTCCTTGAAGCCCCAGCTGTCCTGGAACTCACTATGTAGACCATGCTGGCCTTGAACTCATAGAGATCTGCTTGCATCTGCCTGCCAAGTGCTAGGACTACAGGCATGCACCACCATGCCCAGCTTAGATTTCATCTTTTTAAAGACCATAACCTGAAGTTGGGTGTGGTGGCTCATGCCTGTAATCCTACCATTGGGAAACCTGAGGGAAGAGGATTACCATGAGTTCCAGGCTAGCCTAGGCTCAAGAGTTGAGTTTTAGGTCAGTCCAGGCTAGTGACACTGTCTCAAAAGGACAATACAAAACAAGAATAAATAATACACTCTGAGCATTCAGAAGTCTGAGGATCCTGAGTTCAACAACAGGCTGCTGGGCTGCATAGTGAGACCCTTTCTCAAAGAACAACAATAAAAGTGGTTGCAAATAGTAAAGGAAAATGCTTAGCAATAATAAAAATAATAGTAATATAAACTAAATATAGCTGAACTTAAAACAACAGAGCTTGGTGTGGTGGTGTATGCCTTTGATCCCAGCACTTGGGAAGCAGGTGGATTTCTGTGAGTTCAAGGCCAGCCTGGTCTACATAATGAGTTCCAGGCTAGCTGGGGCTACAGGGAGATCCTGTCTTAAAACAAACACACACACCACTGGTCCATGTGAGGTCCTTCCAGAGCTGAAATAAGATTCCAACACAGGATTCATCCTTTCAGAATCCCTTTTCTAGAGTAACTGGCATGGTAATAGCCATCTCATCTATTTTATGGCTAAAAGCTTTTCCTATAACTCATTCCTTACATTCAAAAACCTAGATGCCATTTCCTGTTTTAAAATGTTCAGTAAGGGATTGGAAAGACGGCTCAGCAGTTAAGAGGGCTTGCTGCTCTTGCAGAGGATCCAAGTTTGGTTCCCAGCACTCAGGCAGCTCACAACTGCCTGTAACTCGAGTTCCAGGGGATCCAGCACCTTCTGGCCTCTGAGGGCACCCCCACAGACATGTGCATACCCACACCCATATATACATAAATAAAAATAAAAAATTTAAAACTGTCTGAGACCAACTGGTCATTACCCAAGACTTACCTGCATGACACACAGTAATTAAAAATGCCAGAATGGTGGAACTAACCTTCTTGGATGTTTAACAGACATACCTTGAGATCTATACTAATTGGGTCAGAGGGACACAAAGGATGCTTTTTGCTCCTTGCCCTCCTAGGTCGATTAGTTCCCAGGGACTATGAGCATCTCGCAAAACGTCCTGTAAAGGTGGTGGGTCATCTGACCTCTTGATCAAGGAGGCCAAGGAGACCCCACCAGATGGACTTGAGCCAGTGTCCAGTCTATAAAGAGGAGGGTCAACACGGAGGAATCATTTCCTCCATGCTTCCAAGAGAAGCCAACAATGGTCGAGCAGGACCTTTGACTTATCTTCACATAGATGGAACTGGTAAAAGAAAGGAGCCAGGGGCTCCTCCCAAGC